ACCTCAAGGGAAAGGCCCTCTTTGAGCAGGCCGCATCCACTGAATACTCGAATTTTGACCCCTTCAGTTCGAGGGCGTTAGCGAGGCCGTTTTCAAACCGTAAGCCTGTCGCTAATTCCGAGTCTCTGGTCTGACTCAATTACAGCATGATGGGTATGGAGACCAACAAGGCCAATCTTGAGGAGAACCTCAAGACACTTTCTGCGAAGCTCGATGTGTACGAGGCCATTCTCGGGAAGCAAAAGTACCTTGCCGGAAACGTGCGTATATTCGCTGATCCATCCCAGCCCGTTGTTTATAATCCATTTGAATATCCATAGGAAGTGACGCTTGTCGACTTGTTCCACCTTCCGTACGGCGCCCTGTTAGAGAAGGCCGGCAGTGACCTTATGACCACCAAGGGCCCCAACGTCACCAGGTAGGCCGTTTTTGTTTCTACACGCATCCGCGGACTGATTACCCGATCCACAGATGGTTCAATGACCTCCAAGCGCGGGAGTCGTGGGTGACAGTCAAGGATGGGATCTCGAAGACTTCGTACTGAACACGTTCCGGAAGAACGAAGTCTAAATTAGCATATAAACTGGTTCTTCAACCACATTTTTAGATGTTGAAGTTCGATTCCATCTCTCTTGCCTGCTCAGTATTCGTTTTCCGATATATGTGAGAGGAACGGTCTGTTCCAGATTTGAGAAACGATGTCTTTGTGAATTCCAGGTTTTCTTAATATATTGTATTTAGTATCGACGAAGCCACGAAGCCGCTGCAGATGCTTATCTCTATGCGCTGGCCCTCGAGCATGACCCGTCCCAGAATCGAACTGGGGCCTTCAATTGAGGCAGAATTATTGTGGGTCCGCTACCGAGCGTGCTAACAGGTCTTTCCCTCATATAAATTGAACACAATATATATGCAGTAGCAGAAGCTTCTGAATTCAAAATGATACATCCCAGAACAAAAACGCTGGCGAACCTTTGAAACACAACCATCCAAGACATCCCAGAATCGGCCTGGGGCCTCCCACACAACTCTTGGAGGTCATTCAGTTATTACCAGTGGGTGCGCCGCCGAGTACGCTAGTAGGCCGTTCTGGTAGCTACGGCATGGAGCGGACGGCTTGAGTAAAATGAAATGAACGAGCCAAAAAAACAGGTGATGACCTATCCCAGAGCCGAACTGGAGTCTTCCACATGACGTTTGAGTCAAGTTCTAGTTATTGTGGATGCGCTACCTTCTGTGCCAACAGGTCTTTCCTCATATTATTAAGTGAACCATAACATATACAGTAGTGGTCATGGGGTGGAGGGCCTTGAGAGAAAGCGGGCGCGCTGCTAGGCTGGGCTTTGTACAAAAGGTAAAGACTCCGAACAAAATCGCAGAATAACCAGTAATGACCGGAATGACCTGTCCCTGATTCAAACTGGACCTCCCATATACCTTGTTCAACGATGCTCAATTACTGTAGGCGGTGCACTGCCGAGTGCACCAACAGCTCTTCTATTATATCGATTGAACCACAATAAATTTGTAAGTAATAAATTTGTGATTAAATGAACCAAGGGGGGGGGGACATGATGCGATTCCTGAATGACCTATTCCAGAGTTGAACGGGTCCTCCCACATAAGGTAGCGGCCATACAAGTGCGGTTGCCCCACGTGACGACCCAAATTGAGCGAATCTCAGCTTGTAGAATGAGCATCGAAAATCCGGCTCAACAGTTTTGTGTGAATGTATCATCAGACAGTTCCTCAATATTTTGAGAAATTTCAGTGGAGAAATGGAGGACGAGTTCCCAAAGTGATGGGAACTTACATTTGCCATCAATCCTGCTAGATTCTGGAACTAGTCATTCATTTCATAACCTAAAAGCCCAAAAATATTTAGAAGCATTCTTAGATAACATTCAAAGAGAACTGTTGGGCCGGATTTTCTAATTTCTACAGAGGTTGGGAGGATTCACGGGAACATTCTGAACTTCGCCCAATAAGGTGATGTCACGTGGGGTAACTTATGTCCCCTACCTTAACTCCCTTGGACAAGATCAATTTATCGTGGGCGCTGCGGAGTGCGCTAAAGGTCCCTCTGGTCTGCAATATGTAGGGAACTTATCAATGAAATTGAATGATTGAATGGCGGGGACAACAAAAATGTTTGTGGGACAAATCCCGACTACGTCTCAGGAAATTCTGTCTGACGTAATGGGTGCTTAGGTGCGGAGTTTCCAAGAGCGTTTATGGATGGTGGAACGAGCGAACGAATGACAGAGTAAAAGCTGACATCTGAAATTAAACCCAATCCGACCCCCCCCCCCCCAACAAACAAAAAGGATTGAGCCAGATCAAGGATCATGTACAATTATTGTGTGTGACCGGCTGTTCAAAAGCTTACTCTGCTATTCACGAATGAAGGTCTTTTTTTCTGGCCGTTTATTTACCGGGGAAAAAAAAAATACACAGAAAAGGGATACGACCTGTCCTAGAATTGAACTGGGGACTCTCGCTAAGAGTCATTTTAGCCTGGGCATATGTCAGTGGGCGCAATACCAACTGTGCCAACAGGTCATTGTTAGCAGTGTGGAACCGAAAAAGCTCCCTGCAAATAGTTTTATGGTTGAACTGCCAGCGTCGGCCCGAAAAAATGATGGCCGATCCAAACTCCGCGCGGTCCGAGACTCCGCCAATGCCATAATGAAGCCATTTTCTCCTCTCCCCTCATCGCTCGGAAGTTGGAACGAACCACCAGCAGCGGCGGTAAAGCTCGAGACTACCGCATCGGGTTAAAAAAATCACCTCGAGCGGAAGCGCATGATCCACCTTCGCGCGTCAACTTTCCCTCAGTGTCGCAGTCGCTTCATCCAAGCCGCGCAAAGCGTGGACTCTCTTCCCCCTGGTTCACTGGAGTCAACATCGTAGCCGACAGCGCCGACACTTTTGCCCACGATCCATGGGAAAAGGAAGCCCTGGGACCTGCGGTATCCGTTTTCATGTACACATCTCTCTTCAGACGGATAGAAAGTCTTCTTCGCTGCTACTCACCGCGTTGGACCAAACAGTTCTTTGTGCGTGGAACGGACACTTTCTGGTTTCCTTGGCATTTTCGACCGACCAGCCACCGCCCTGCTTCGGTATGACGCTCAGCGCTCATCTCGACTCCACGCATGTCAGCTCAAAGACGCGCCGAAGCTTATCGCGCATACCACCAACATGACCACGTTCGCTCACTTCTTCGGCTACACTATCGACCTCGGCGTCGCACAGCCCACCCTCGCGACGGAGGACGGCAAGTACCTCCTCAAGTACGCGCCTGACGCGCGGTGCTCCTCGTGCGCGAAAGTCGCCCACAACTGTTTACCCGGCGCTACCGAAGAGGTGATCCAGGCCGTGCGCCTACACCGAGTCGCTGCGCATAGTTATAGTGCTCGGTGCCCATCAGTGCCCTCCCTTGCCCCTCTCCCCCGCTTTCGCCAACACCCCTGCGCGAGCCCTCTGCCGACCGCCGCCGCAAGAGCCGCACACCACGCGCTTCGCGCGCGGCTCCTCTATGCTGCACACACAGGGCTCTTCCACATCGCTCCCCCCCCCGCGCTCGCCCGCCTTCTGCCACGCGCACCCCATCCCCCGCGCCGTCCGCCTACAGCAGCAGCGGCGCCCTTCTCCGCCCACTACGCCACCGCATTCTCCAGCAGCGCCGAGCGCGTGGGCTCGCGCACGCCGTCCCCCGCGTTCCCACACGACCAGAACGAATACCGCTTCCCCACGCGCGTGACGTACGACTAGCACAAAGATGAATGGATCCGCGTGCCCTCTTTACCGCGCACCCGTCCACCACCATGCGCAGCACGCGCTCCGAGCGATTTCTCTCCCGCACGTCCGAGTTTGCTGAGCCCGCGGACGGCGGCTGAAGCTGGAACCGAAGTGGGGGGCGCGGCGACGTGGGCCTAGGGACGAGCATGACGTACCGGCCCGAGTCGCGCCAGGGGTGGAGTGGCGAGTGGGGTGGCGCGGCGCAGGGCTTGGGCATGGACGAGGTCGTCAACCGGCTAAGGGGGCTCAAGATGAAGTGAGGGTATTCCCTCATTAGATTCTATGCACTTCTATTGGGTGCGCTCACCGCATTGTCGATCACGACGTGCTTGGATGGTCGCACGAAAGGCCGCGGGCTTTACGTAGAGGGGAGTATGGCGGGAGGGAGTATGCTACGACTATGGGTACACTTATACGTCTACAGCCGTGGTTTCGTTCGGGATATCGGTGTGGGCACTCTAATACGGGTTTGTCATTAATGTTGCTGGGACGCGGTGCTTAATAGTGTATGTACATAACTGCTGATGGAATGGTGTGGGTGCATGGCGGGTTGGCAACAAAATCCAGCGCTGGTAAATCGTGTGTCATCGCAGCCCGTGGTGGAACAAATCGAAGTAGAATAAGAAAGGAATCGACACAAAGAAAAAACTAAAAAACATTATACCACGACCTGTCCCGGATTCGAACCGAAGCCTCCCGCACAAGTCTACGAACACAGTGTGAACACTATACAGGCGCGCTTCCAACTACGCTAACTGGTCCTCTTCTCCTGTTGTTTTAGTTCGAAGTCGTATGTAGATGTGGGTGGAGGAAGCCTGGGAGCAATAAAAGTCCAAGTTGATGATCCGTCCTAGAGTCGAACTCACCCACATGCTCAATCCAGGGAGGTGTTAGTCTTTGCGGGTACGCTAACCACTGCGCACACCAACAGGTCATTCTGGCGTGTTAACTGAAGCAGAATATAAGCGGTGCCGTCGGCGTTGCCATTTATGCTCGGAATAATATTTCGCGATGCTGGTTGGATGTGCATATGTTGGCCATCAGTATCGCGAACTATTGGCAAGGCATGCTCAAAGTCAATGTTGGCTAGTCGTCCCGCTGCAGTCCGCATTGGAAGGGACTCGGAATATAACTGAAACCAATGCCGGACAAGGAGACAAAAAAGACAAAAAAAAATGTAGAAGACACCATTACTACGACCTATCCCGGGCTCGAACCGGAAGATGATGACAAAGTGTATACATTACACAGGCACGCTCCCCACTGCGCTAACAGGTCTATCTGACATGCTAATTCAACTCTAATATTAGGCGGAAGGTCTTAAACAAAACAAAATGAAACGAGCCAGAACGAAAATGTGAAACCCGCCCTGTCCCAGAGTCGAGCCCGGGTGAGTCGTACCCATCCTCGTCACTTAGTTACTTCGCTTAGGAATGAGAAAATTCGTGAGTTTGATGTGAAAACACGAAAGTTCGTCATTTCAGCTGAATTCTGGGAAAGCTCGTCACTTCGATTAAATTCTGGTGAAAGCTCGTCACTTTCGGGTGCGCGCGACCTATGCACTTGCCATGTATGATCACCGGAATTACGGAACGCCTCAATATTCTTTGTTACCACCATTCCCACCCGCGTCGGCGATTCTCAGTCGCATTCCTGCCCATTATGCACCATAACACGTTTTCGGACGATACATGGTGTTCTGGAAGTGATGACCGAAATCTTCTGGGCATGTTCGCGTTCCCCATGCCCGCAAGAGTCATCCTACCAAATGTAGTGCAATGAATTCTTATTGACTGACGAGAAGGTTGCTCACACCCATGCGATAATCATGGTGCTACCAAGGTTTCTTGACGTAAATACTCCACTGCTCAAGGTTGATCTTGTTAATGTGCAAAAAAATTAATTTGAATTCATAACTTAGTTCCCCTGAATGCATCGATGTCTACAAGTAGCGGACTGTCAGGAACGAACCGATCCCAAGTGAAACTACTAGCCTGGAATTTTTACCGAAGATGTACCACGAGCTGAGACTTCTTTGACAGCTTCGACGCCAACCACATCCGAACCGCCGAACCGCTGACGAGGCCTGGTCACAAATGTTCTGGGTCCATGTCCTTGGAGTCAGATGTGCCTCCCAAGCGTCTGAAGCTTGGGCATCTGAAGGGGTGGGGGGTCGAGAGAGATGGTGTAAGCATGACTGCTGTGGAATACACTCAGAAGCACTGGAGCGAGTTTCGAGAGGAATGCCCTGAAGTGATGACTTACATTCTACCAAATGACATTCAAGTCGAGTAGATAATTTCTCCCCTTACTATTATCCTCTAATACACATCTTTGAATACAAAGGGGATTTTATGTACATCTAAATTTATTTAGGTGAGCTCAGAGACGCCTCGGGGTGATGGATAAGATAGAAATTAGGGCCCGTGAAAACCAAGTGAAAGCTCTGATCGCCAGAGGACCCCTTGCCGCAGTCGTGCCGTCGTCAAGGCAAACAAATGGCCCACGGAATAAGTACGGCAGCCTCGGCAACTGAACGCGGTCATGTGGTTATCGTCAAGTGACAACTTTTCACGGTGTGCAGAGGAAGTGACGAAGTTGTCGTAAATCTAGCTGAACTCACGAACTTTCAGGGAATACCATCAACCTCACAAACTTCCACAACACTAAGCGAAGTAACTAAGTGACGAGGATGGCGCGGACTCAGCCCGGGCCTCCCGCACAATTCTGGCACACATATATTAAATGCTACGAGCGCGCTTCTATCTGCGCTAAAGGGTCTTGTAGCGTATTGGGTTCAAAAGTGTATTAATATCAATATTATACGACTGAGAAATTTGAAAATCAAAAAGAAATGTCAGCAAACAGTGGATGACCTGTCCCAGAGTCGAACTGGGGTCGGCCACATAATGGACTGAACTGGAATCAGTTGATCCTACATCGGAAGCTATGGTTGTGGCACTTCAAACCCAAAGAAGCTAAAAGTTCAACTGCTCAGCGCCACAGGAAACGGCGGCCGCTTTGACAGGAGATCCCAGATACACTTCTGACAAAGTGGCTTGTTTACGACGTGCACCTGCCAACATCGGTGACCTCATCCCAACAGTCCGAATCTTCGCATCAGCTCAAACACCATGGCGCTCATCGGCAACTCGTCGCTCTATGCATTGGTGAACCTCATAACCGCGACTGGGGAGCGACCTGCTACCGACTTATGCTACTTAAAGAGAGAGAGAACCTAAGAGGAGTCCCAAGGAGAAGAATCCCGAAACCGTTTAACTGACGTTGATTTGACGAAGACAACAACAATGAGCCAAGAGCTGTGTAAGTACAGGACTAAGAGTCAGTAAGCTGATGATATGAGCCAGGATAAATCTGGATAGATATGATTCTAATCGTAAGGAACGTCGTGCCAAAAATGCGGAGAGCTCGGAGTGTATCGTGAATATAACTATTCCAGGTGGTCCGGAATAATGTTGGCCCTTGCAAGTCGTCCCGAAATATCCTGCGGTCAAGGTCATGAAGGTCAACATCCGAGACTCACTGCTCTAGTACTTGTCTATGATATTCCCAGACTCGTCGCAAAATTGGAGTCCTCTGCGTTTCATGGTGCATGGACTCGGAGGGCAAAGTAGCTGTACCAGTAACTAGTAAAAATACACGGCCACCATCTGTTGGATGAGCTCAATCCGCTTCTCCCGCATCTTCATCAAGAGGTAGGCGTTCTCGATCAAACACACTTTGACAGCCCCCCCAAATCGGGATAGCCAAGCCAGCAATCAGCTCTCAAAGGCCTGATTTTTTGATTGCTGAATACAACTCAAATATCTAGTAAAAAGAGTTCTAAAATTTTGGCTACCCCTCATTTTGGCGCGTAATTCATCGATCTATGTAGTTACATTATTATTATTTTGGGGAAGAGCCTCCGCTCTTGAATTTACAAGAATTTTCGGTTACCTCTTGCCGAAAGTTCCTGGCTTTAAATGTTAACCACATCATCGCCTAAAGGCGTCATTTTGGGAGTCTTGCCGCTCTCGCACCCAAAGAATTGGCTTGCTGCTGATCCAAGACCCCGCCCCCCCCTCTGACAGCTATCAGCGATTGTCGGAGGGTAGTGTCGGCGATTGTATTCCCGCCTACCTCTTGATCTTCATGTCACTCAACCCCAAACAACAAACACCATACCTTTTAATATGGAACACGAATAGCACTGCAGTGTCGCCTTTCTTACCTGCCTCCCTCCTATGTCCCTTCTCCGTCTTCCTCAAGCGCTCCTGGGGCATCGACTAGGATACCCCGTAGAAACTCGTAAGCTCTTTGGCCTGATGTTCTGCATTCCTCAAATAATATTCAGTCAGCATATCCTTAGCGATGGACACCATCGTGTTCTTGGTATTCTTCCTACTGACCGCGTTACTCGCAATAGCCAACAGTAAGTATGCATGCTATCATGGGCCACATACTCGCTAAATATTGATTCTCAATTAACAGTTCCACTTTCGGCATATAATGTTGTACAAGAGTTCACGTACTGGCCAAACGACACGCTTGCTCCGCTCCCCTTCAGCAATCTAATCCCTGACATCCATTAGACAGCTTCACGCCACAAGTTTTGACTGTCGGCGATTCTTTTCGGCTCAATAATTCTGAGATCGTGTTCACCATTACTGAGGCCTTCAACAGGAACAACCATTTGCTGCCGGTGTCGTGCTTCTCCTACTTCAACAATCCATTTTCTGATGGATGTTACGTCGTATTTTGTCCTGCCCAATTAATTTCCACTCTCTAACTACCGGCGTCGTCCAGAGCCAACTTTCCATCACCCCGTCTTGTAAGCTAGACGTCGGCTCAGCCCGGGACTATTACAGCGTTGTAGATAATGTGACAGTAAGCAAACCGGTTAACCTGCTCCCGCGAAGCCGCTTGATGGACCTAGAGGACAGGCTCAGGCTACAGTAACATGCATTACCAGTGCCATGGGTAACGTGGAGCGTTCATTGGCACGTATACGGCATACACTCCGCAAGCATGGTATAGAGGAGGATGAAGCCGAGGATCATTGTAATAACAGCCCAAGAGGCATCTTCCCATTACTTGAGATTGAAAATATTCACCTGACCTTGAGTTCAACAGATGGTAAAGACATGAATCCACTTCGAACACAGTCCTAATCAGCGATTCGACCATGATTCCGTGGCGTGAATTAGGGCTGGCCAAAAAACAAATAGGGGTTCAATACAGATTTTGCGGTATCGTATTCAACCTCTTCACGGCGTGTCTATTTGTAGCGTACCATAATCCCATAATATAGTTCTGAGTAATGAATGATTTACACCACACTTCCTCCTGAGCTACTTTCCCTGTCAAAGCTAGGCCGATGGATGGAGGAGCGAATGAGAGAGAGAAAGGTTGACATCTGAAATTGAACGAAATCCGATCCCCCAGGATTGATCATTATATAGGATTAGCACGTATAGTTATTGTATCCACCAATTTGGGAAGGTGTTTTTTTCCTGAATGTTTATACTGAAAAAAAGAACAAAGTCCAGAAAATGGAAGCGACCTGTCCCAACTGAACTGGGGACTCCCGCAGAAGCTCATTTTTCCCTGGGAAAATTCCAGCGGGCGCATTACCAACTGTGCCAACAGGTCGTTATTATCAACACAGAAACCAAAGAAGTTATAAATGACACATAGTTGATGTGTTCCGTCAATTTATTCACATAACAATCGGCCAGGTCAGAAGTCTGTACAAAAAATACCGAAAACATTTGGTATGTACAACTCAGAGAAGTGTATTGGCGTCAGCATGCCGGAGTCTGAAATTTTGGCGGAGGGGTTGAACATCGGTAAGCTGGGACTCCCTACTCGCTAGTCAGACCATAGACAAGGATTATTTTTCTGAAAAAAAACAAAAAACAAAAAAAACCTTGTTATATGGTCTGCTTTTACTCGCGCTGGAAAAGCCTACGTCGACCTTCCGGATTAGGCTCTTCCCAAAAAGGCGATTGATGCTTCCCACGCCCATCCCATTCCTTCGAGTCAACTCGTATAGGCCACACTCGCGCTCTTAATTCTTGGTATGGCGGGAGAAGCATTATATAGTTCCTTGAATTCTTTGTCAAATTTCCGCACTTCTCGTGCTCCCTTATGTACTACCAATTGCCCCGGCAGAGTGGCAGTGCTTACAATTCACACGGCTACGGGGAGTGAATTTGGGCCAACCGCGAATTTGAGCCAACCGCGAACTGCAATGATATTTTAATTACTGGTGAGGA